CGTGTGGGATCTGTGCTTGGGGTTCCCCAAATAGGTCTGCCTGAGGCAGGCAGCCTCCCACAGGCAGGGATGGGGGTGTCCCTGGCAGTTCGAGGGTCTGTTCAGATGACCCTGCCTGTTAGCCATTTTCCCCTCTGTTTGTGCTCAGGCCCCTGCCAGAGCCGATCCCCCGAGCCCAGCAGGCGCCCTGCCGTCCCCGTCTCCGTCCCCGTGCCATTCCCGACCGGCTGCGTGCAGCAGCCATCTTGTCTTCCTGCCCAGAAATGTGAAATGGTTTCTCCTCGATCCAGAGGAGAGAGAGCCTTCCCCTCGCAGGCTGCCTGCCGGGGGCTGTCTGCAGCCAGCCTTAGATCCTGTCCCTAGGTGGCCACAGATTCTCGCAAAACCAGGTGACTTCCTTTTGCTTGCTTTTCCCATCTCTGCTTTCACCGGTGGCACTTTCCGTGGCACCCACCCACCTGCCGCAGTGCCCACCGTCCCCCGCGGACCTGTCCTCCCCTTCACCAGCGGGGTCCTCAGCCACCCCTGCCCCCTTGGGCCCAGCTCCCATGGGCGTCATCCCCCCTTTATGCTCCTTTAGTTGTTTTTTATCTGTAAATCTCACGTCACCTATTAGATTGTGAGCTCACACGTAGCCAGTGGGTGCCTCCTGCCTGCTGGGTCCCCCATCCAGCTCTCTCACAGCGTCATTTCATTTATTCCTCACCCCAACCCTGCGGGGAGCACCCGTGGCTGGTAAGTGTTCTGATCATGGTTCGAACCCTGGTCTCTCAAAGCCTTTGTGGTTTTTTTTTCCTCTCTCCATCCTCTGTGTCTGCAAAATGCCTTTGAACGACGAGGTAGGTCCCCCCAACATGACTATTTAAGGAATTTTGTAAGCTCCTCATGCGTAGTGGGACTTGGGGTAGCCGGTCCTTTTGCACCTACGGTCTGGGTCCCTTAGCTGAGCCATACCACCCTCATTGACTTCATTCTCTTCGGTTATGGCCAGGTTCATTCATGAGGCCGGCTTCTTGCTTTGTAGCTGGCATGGATGGACTGAGAAACCTCAGTGATCCTGGAAGAGGATGAGGAGGTTGGGTGGGGTATGGTGCCTTCTGAGCAGAAATCAGCTCCAGAACCCAGAAGGGAGTGGAGAGCGTGGGAGGCAGGGAGCAGGGACATGGATTGCTCTTGGGCAGACGGAGGTTTGCGTCTGGACCCTGCCTCGTCTTCACCGGGTGGTTTTAGACAAATGACTTGATCTTCCTAAGCCTCCGTGTCCTCAGTCAGGGAGACGGAGCCACTGTGACTACACAGAGACGCCTGATCCCCTGCCAAGCAAATAGGTCCCCGACCGAAAGTGTGGCTCCCTTGCCCCTACCCAGGAGCTTTGCAGGGACGTGAGGCAGGAACACAGCAGTTGGCTGGGCTCGAGAAGAAATGGGGGCGAGGGGAGCTTGCGTGCCTTCAGGGACAGCAGAAGCAGAGCCGGGGGGGGGGGGC